TTTAGCTTGTCAATGTTTTCTTTATGGTCTTCATCTTGTCGCAAACAACTTTTTATTGAAGGTCTTTCTTTTTTGCTCTGCCTATACGTACTGCCAACTCCTCCATGGTCACATTTAGCCTGCTTCATTTGACAATTTATAAATAGCCTTAGCTTTTCAGCTAGTCTTATAGGTATATGTTAGCATTATTTTTCCATTGTCACTTTATGTTGAGTATTATATATTCTAGGCTTACTCCTATTCTCCATGCTCACATTATAGTTCTCTACCCATATTGAAGTAATTTTGTTGCATTTTTCAATAAACTTTGTGCCACTGTGCAGCGTTGGCTTCTTCATGGCTTCATTAGCGTGATGCTTGGCTCATCTTAGTTTTCATTTGGGCTCAACGCATTTTATTACCAACTGCCTATTAGCGTTTATTGTGTAGCTTGCTCCCTCTCTCTCTCTCTCTTTCTTTCTCTCTCTCTCGCCCTCTCTTTCCCTCTGTATCACTCGGTCGCTGACTGTTTCTTTGGTCGCCACCTTTCCCCTTAACTTGGCTTTTGTGCGTGGCTCATTTGACCAGGCCCGTTGGCATTTGGACGGCTTCTTTTGCCAACTGCTTGCCTGGATTTCGCTGAAGTTCTGGTTCTGCGTCAGTTTATGTGCTGCCCGCTGTTATCTGCATAGCGGAAACTATAAACACTTGTTAGCTAACAACTGGAGAGTGCTTGACTCGGTGACTCCGACTCCGACTCCGACTCTGTCTTTGAATATTTAGCTTAGCTGGCTTTCTGCCAGGGGATTTGTTAGCTGTCAACCCCATAAGCAACCCCATTAGCGCGTTTTTTTTTGCTTTTTAATATTTATTATACCCTGTAGTCAGTGAACGTGTCCCAAACAGGCGGTATATTGTGTGTGAAAGGCGATAGGTGACATCTACCAAGAGTCAGCTACAAAATATATTAACTTGAGCAGTATTATTGGCCGAGACGAATTACTAATATACGTACAGTGCGAGCGAGAGATTTCAATTTGAAATTGATCGATAAATATCGATTTTAATCGCCGTTTTTTGAGCTTAAATCAAAAGTGAACAGGCCAGAGACTCGAAAAGATTGCATTGAATTATATACATATGTTTTCGATAGTTCGATAGTTCGTACCTTATCAATAAATTTCGATAAATGTCGATTTGCAAGCTTATTTTTTTAAGCATATTTCAAAGATTACAGTTACTGTAAATAACGAAGCTTTCTCCTTTATCAACACAAAACAAATATCTCGCTTACCAACTTCCACATACCCTATAAAAATATATATAAGCTATCGCCACGTAACATTTGATAGAGACAGGACAATAAGAACCCGAGCTACATAAGGCAAAGGGAAGAAGCAGCACAGATAGTTTGTATAGGCGGAAGCTAGAATGTTTGTAAGGGCAGCTCGCCGCTGTGTACAGGGTAACTGCTAGTCAGGCACTCTCGCGTAGAGTCCCGTGACTTGTTTGATTTTATTTTATTTCGCTTTTACACATGACAAAGTTGAAAGAAAACATAATTACGAACCTCGAACGCAATCTGGGCAGATTAAACGGGCTTCAGACTGACAGCCACCCTATGCCAGGCCTTTGTTTAGTTGCAATAAACCACCCCACAGCGGAGGCTGTGCCATGGGATGCAGACACGATGCCTGCAAGCGCCTGTTTGTCCGATCTGTCCGGCATATTGAAAATAGGCAGCAAGTGCGCCAAATCCCCGGCAACCATTCGTAAATCTGGCAACTGGCAATCGACAGGCCGGTTTGGTTTTTGTTTTGGTCAGGCAATCGCTGGATTCAGTCAAATCTGTCTGGCTGCCAGTCGAGTCACCTGCATATGCCCAGCAGCACCTGCTGAACCGTTGGCACTGGCAACGCCCACTCTGAATTCATGAATATTTGATGCTTTGATAATGAAAGTGCCGACTTTTGGGCAGGGGAAGGGTGTGCTGAGAGGGCGAAAAGTCGAGATAGCCACATCCGTGCTCAAACTCCAGCGGGGGTAAATGAAATGGGGCGCGAAATAAGAGCTGCTCGGTGATGTATTCAACAAATGGAAGGAATTAAAGTACTTTAAGCTTGACGTACAGAAATCGGCAGCAAAATTTAATTAAAAGATATTATAAATCAAAGAAAACAAGTAAAACTAATAATAATAAATATTCTATTTGTTGAATAAAACACAAACAAGTACTCAAAGCTAGACGTGCAAAAATTAGTAATTAAATATAATTTGATGGGAAAATAATAATAATAATAGTAAAATAAATAATAGTCAATAATCAATCACATAAATTATATAAATAAATGATATGAATACAAAATTTAATATATTTTTCGAGAGCCAACTATTATGATGTATCTAGACTCTAAGAAAAACCCAACATTTATCGATATTTCCATTTTATTTAATATATATTGAATATTTAAAATTATGTTGCACGCAAATATTATTTAACAGTTTATGTCTGTAGCTCTTAAGCGACATATTACATTGCCTCAGTTGGTTGTTCAGGAAAATAGATATTGGGCTCGTAGAAGCCTTCCTCTGCTGGTATATCCATTAATGTATACATTTTCAATGGATACAGGGTATAATTATTTGAACTTGTCTCGACTACCTTGGTGCATTTGCAGAGCTTAAAGCTGCGCTTCAAAAGCTGCGTTTACTTAAAGTTGTTTTCACCTAAAACCAAACTTTGTTGCATACTTTCAAGCGCCGCACACGAAGTGCTTAAACTTGTTTTGATAAACACAAATCTCGCATTATCGATCTAACAAAATTGTTTTAAATACTCGCATTTGAAAATAAAGTCAAGGTGAAGGCAGAACTTAAACTACCTACCCTAAGGACGGCAAGTAGAAATAAAACAAACTCAATAATTAACACGAATTTGGCAATTAGACAAGATAATTTGATGCCTAGCTAAAATTAGAAACAATGCATTTGTTCAGCGAAATAAAGACTGGAAAATACCCTGTAGACGGAATTAAAATAACATTTTTTGTGATTTATGTGCTTGACATGAACACAATGCATTTAGTTTGTAAATGAATATAAAAATGGAAAATATTAACTAAATTGGATGATTTAAAGCTTGACGAAGTTAGCTCGGATTTCTTGGACATGAAAATATCAGATGCGAGCCCAACTTTATGATACACTTTATAACACGTTTTATGTGCGAACAGGGTATTCGAATGGAACTCAAATGGAATATGTGATTGCCGCTCGCATATTATTTCCGCAACAATAAAAGACGAGAAACAGCATTTAATAAATCTGAAAAAAAAAGAGTCTAAACAAAAATCAACAACAAACAAAAAGGCGGCATTTGATTTGGGCGAAGTCGCAGACTTCATGGCTCTCAATTTGATGGTTTTGTTAGCATTTGTTGTTGTTGCTGTTCTTGATTAGCATGAAAATTGGCAAAAAGGCAGGTGAGCAACAAAGAAAACAATGAGAACAAATGTGACAATGAGTTATAGAAGAAGCAGATGCACAAGAAATAAATGATCAGATATAGATGGAAATGAAGAAGCAGAAGTATATAGAAGCACAAATGTCTTATGTATGTTTGTAAATACGGATTAATGTTACGAAAGAATATAGCTCGTGTGAATGTATAGAAAGAGATACTGAAATAAAAAATAATTAGATTAAGACACAAAAAAGTAATACAGATACAGATTCAGATTCAGATTCAGATACAGATACAGATACAGATACAGATACAGATACAGATACAGATACAGATACAGATACAGATACAGATACAGATACAGATACAGATACAGATACAGATACAGATACAGATACAGATACAGATACAGATACAGATACAGATACAGATACAGATACAGATACAGATACAGATACAGATACAGATACAGATACAGATACAGATACAGATACAGATTCAGATACAGATACAGATACAGATACAGATACAGATACAGATGCAGATGCAGATGCAGATACAGATACAGATACATATACAGATACAGATACAGATACAGATACAGATACAGATACAGATACAGATACAGATACAGATACAGATACAGATACAGATACAGATACAGATACATATACAGATACAGATACAGATACAGATACAGATACAGATACAGATACAGATACAGATACAGATACAGATACAGATACAGATACAGATACAGATACAGATACAGATACAGATACAGATACAGATACAGATACAGATACAGATACAGATACAGATACAGATACAGATACAGATACAGATACAGATACAGATACAGATACAGATACAGATACAGATAAGATACAGATACAGATACAGATACAGATACAGATACAGATACAGATACAGATACAGATACAGATACAGATACAGATACAGATACAGATACAGATACAGATACAGATACAGATACAGATACAGATACAGATACAGATACAGATACAGATACAGATACAGATACAGATACAGATACAGATACAGATACAGATACAGATACAGATACAGATACAGATACAGATACAGATACAGATACAGATACAGATACAGATACAGATACAGATACAGATACAGATACAGATACAGATACAGATACAGATACAGATACATATACAGATACAGATGAATTAAAGATATAGATAGAGATACAATGGAATATTCGTATACATATGCATTTTCATGTATATATGTAGATAAATAATTGTATAAATATTCCCATACCAATATTAATATCTATATATGCGGATACAAATACTCACAGCTGCAGATAAAGTTGAGGTGTTATAAAATAGAGTTCAATGTCAATGTCAAAAGAGCTCGTGCCGGCCTGTTCGAAAAGTCCAAAGTCACTCCGAGATGTTTGGCGGAACGAATCGATCTGTTGCTAAGGGGTGGGGAGGGTTTGGGGGTAAAGCCAAGAACCAGTTGAGAATTGTTAAAAGTTTCTTAAAATATTTATTGTTGTCTTAGGAGCTAGCTTAGATTAAAATCAGTTCATTATGTAGGACAAACAGAGATTGAATGCGGGCAAGATCTAACTAAAGCCCCGTTCGGCGTCTAAAATATTCCGGATCCAGCGAAGATCAGGAACGGGATCAATCGCAGCTAACTGGAACTTGTGGAACGGAGCTCAAACCTGATGTGAAACTAAACCTACACTAGAGCATGCTGACTGCACTGGGAATTATTTGATATAGCCATAATCCTGCTTGATCATATCGGCGGCCTTCTCGGCGATCATAAAGACGGGTCCGTTCGGATGTCCGGACATGATCTCGGGCATGATGCTGGCATCTGCGACACGCAAATTGCGTATGCCATGGACACGCAGGCGGGCATCCACAACCGCCGCCCGATCCGATTTGGGTCCCATCTTGGTGGTGCCCGAATAATGGTAAATGGTGAAGGTGAAGTGGCGCACATAGCAGGCCCAGTAGGCCCAGCTCTTGTAGGGATGCTGCTTGCAGGTGGGTATCTTGCGCTCCCACAGCTTGCCATCGATGGCCTTCATGCCCCGCTGCTCCATCAGGCTGATGGCCTTCAGCAGGCCACGCACCGAGATGTCCACATCGTACGGATGGGCAAAGTAGTTGGCATGTATCAGCGGATACTTGAAGGGATCGCTGCTCTTGAGCATGATGCGACCGCGACTCTTGGGCCGCAAAATCATGGGGAAGATCATGAAGGCATTCAGCGCCTTGTCCTCAATCTCGGCGAACAGCGAATCGTAGATGGACTTCTTAAGGCCAAAGGCGCGTGATATGGCTGGATTGGATGACATGGAACCGCCCACCAAGAATAACTCAATATCCGGCCAGCCATCCTCGTCGCGTTCATGATCCAGATCCCAGAAGGCAATTGCCTCACAGCCGCCGGGCGAACCATACGGACCTTCTCTCCGATTGAACCGAGTCAGCCAGGTGGGATCGGCAAAGTCTTCGAATTTCAGTGAAGTGGCATTCGTTGTAAAGGTCACCGCCGGCGCCGTGTGATCCTGCAGATTGTAGCCCACGGCCAGATCCGCAATCGGCTTTATGCCCACTTCGCGCAAATGCTTGGCCGGACCGACGCCTGACAGCATCAGCAACTGGGGCGTGTTGATGGCGCCCGCCGAGACAATCACCTCCTTGCGAGCGAGCACCTTCTGCATGCGTCCGTCGGTCTGGACCATGATGCCATAGGCGGTCTTTGTTTGCGGATCGATGAGCACCTTGGTGACCAGCGCCCTCTTCTTCACATGCAGATTTTGACGCTTGCCCTTGAGGGGATAGAGGTAAGCGCGATTGGAGCTCCAGCGTGTCGAGTTGCGTGTGGTGGTGTGCAGAAAGGCGACACCATTCTGAATGCGTCCATTATAATCGCGATATTTCAGGCCGTCCTGTTGGGCGGCATCGACAAAGGCCTCCGATATCTTGGAGCGCCAGTTCACATAGCTAATTTTCACCGGTCCGTCGCGTCCCACAAAGTCCTCCTCTGCATCTGGAACGCTGCTGCCCTCGTATTTCTTAAAGTATGGCAGCACATCCTTCCAGCTCCAGCCGGGATTGCCCAGCGCCTCCCATCGATCATAGTCACGGCGATTGCCGCGCGTGTACATCATGTAATTGAGCACGGAGCTGCCGCCCATCACCTTGCCGCGCGGCCAATTGCAGCGATTGTTGTTCATTGCCAGGCAGGCGTGATCCGAGGGCTGGGTGCGATACTTCCAGTTCATTTCGCCCAGCTGCAGAAAGTGCGCCACAATGGGCACATCCATGACCAGACGCTCCGGTCCGCCCGCCTCCAGCAGCAGCACTTTCCACTTGGGATTCTCGGAAAGACGCGCGGCCAGAGCACAGCCCGCTGTGCCGGCGCCCACCACAATAAAATCATATTCGCTTTCCATTTCAATGGTATTATCATAGTTCTCCAGCTCGACATCCGATTGGCCGCGGCGCAGGAAATTGATCGTCTCGAAGAGCACATTCTCGCTCTGGGCGGCGATCAGAGCTAGGCTGCCGAGCATTAGCCCCACCAATAGCTGGCATTGATACACTTTAGCCATATTCTTAGCACTTCACTTGAGGTTGCACACAAAAAAAAAAAAAATTGTTTTTCTATATATGTGTTCAAATTGTTCTTTGGATTGTTTCTTAGACGTTCTTTTGAGTACGGACTGTGCGCGCATGCGTGGCCCGTGCCGTTAGTTCGTCTTGCCCAATCGGACTCGTAACTGGTAATGCTGACAATCGCTCTGGCCAAGTTCAATTTAATATTAAATATAAGCGCTGCCGTCTCGGCCGAATCGTGTTTGCGAATCTTTTCGGCAGCGCGCTCGATCGGCAGCGCGATCGTTGTTCACGTTAACGATTACTGCCAAGAATCTTCAGAGCGGCAAACAGCAGCAACAGCAGCAGCATTGGCATGACTGTGGACACGTTCACAAAGCCAAATTGAAAGCGAAATTTGAGCGAACGCACTGACATTGACTTGAGCTGATCGTTCACACGATCACAGCCCCAGAGCATATTGACCAAATTGCGGAAGCTACGCAAAACTGTCTGCAGCTTGCAGGGCAACCTAAGGGCAATCTCGAGGGTCCAATTTTGACATCCATTTAAGCGGCGATTCTCGATTTATTGTCTGGCCCGAAGATCAAATCAGATCGATTGCCCGTGCTCTCAATGCGGAAGGGCCCACCATACGCGCACAGCCCATTTTTTTGTTTCTTTTTCTTATTTTTTTTTTTAATATTCCATTTAGCAACAATATGTCAACCCATTGGGGAGCAACGCATAAATTGTCTGCAACGATCGCGTTGGCTGATCGACAAGAGCATTGTCAAGTTCACCTATACGTTGTTTTCTGCTCTGCAGAAGGCTTGTAATTAATTTAATTTATGCTGTGCTTACGGAAAACAGTTGGTCGATCGACAAGAACAAGGGCAAAATCATATAAAGGTTCCTTACGGAACACGCAATTTGATTTTATGAGCATCGACTTTGTCAACCCATTGGCTAGAAGCTCTAAAAATGATACAGATAATATCGTCAATAAGATCTTTTGCCTGCAGCTACTGTTGAAGACTTTTAAGACATTTATTAGTTGCAGTAGAAATTTGAGACCAGAAGACTCATGTGGTCTTCAAAGGAGTCGCGACGCACGCTGAAATATATGAAATAGTCAAAAACCTTGAATGGGAAGTTCACAGACAAGCTCTACACGATCTCCAGCCTGTGCAAGAGTCTGGCTTTTATATATTAGTTGGCCAATTTAAGTGTCCCATTCTGTTCATCCAAAGATCGCATGCTTTGTGGAAATAAATAAGAAGAAGAAATAATAAGAAAATATCAGAAGACTTTTGGCAAATATTTATGAGTCAGGATATTGTACACAATGAATGACTTATGATCTAAATATAACCAAGTGGGCTGTGTTTTATTCCATGGAAACAATATCAAAGATCCCAAATATCGTTAGCTAGACCACATGCACGATCCTCACTTATAACTGTCACCAATTGGTATTGGAAAGAAATGGAAGAGCAGACAAAAAAAAACCACAACGATCGTTGGGTGAGCGGCAAGATCCCCGCCAATCCATTTTCTATTAATTTGTGGGGCATCACTTTCGCTAGCTATAGTTGTGATCCTCTTTGATCATATCGGCGGCCTTCTCGGCTATTAAAAAGACCGGCCCATTTGGATGACCCGCAACCAGATAGGGCATTATGCTGGCATCCACCACACGCAAATTTCGAATGCCATGGACGCGCAGGCGCGCGTCGACCACGGCGCTGGGATCGCTGCGTGGTCCCATTTTGGCCGTACCGGAATAGTGATAGATCGTGAAGGTGAAGTGACGCGCATGACACGCCCAGTAGGCGCGGGTCTGACGTCCGAGATGACGGCAGGCGGGCAGCTGCGTCTCCAGCACGCGTGCATTGATCGCCTTGAATGCGGGCTGATCCATTAGGCTGACCGCCTGCTCGATGCCGCGGACTGTTATGTTCAGATCATAAGGATGCGCGAAATAGTTGGCATCGATCAGTGGATGCTGCTGAGGATTGCGACTCTTGAGCCGAATGCGTCCGCGACTCTTGGCGCGCAATATCATTGGCATGATCATGAAGGAGTCCAGTTTGCTGTTCTCCAAATCGCCAAAGATGGTCTCATAGATGTCCGCCCTGACGCCGAATGCCAGCCGCAGTGCTGGATTCAGATGCAGGCTGCTGCCTGCCATGAACAGCTCCATGTCCGCCCAACCCTTGGCACGCGCATCATCGTCCAATCCGTAGAAGGAAATGGCCTCCACGCCGCCTGGATTGCGCAGGGGTCCTTCGTCTCGCAGATAGCCGCCCACTGCATCCGTGTTCACAATGTTGTGTATTCTCAGCGAGCTGGCGTTGCACAGAAAGGTCACTGCTGGCGCCACATGATCCTGCAGATTGTAGCCCACGGCCAGATCAGCAATCGGCTTGATGCCCACCTCGCGCAAATGCTTGGCCGGACCGAGGCCCGAGAGCATCAGCAACTGAGGCGTATTGATGGCGCCCGCCGAGACAATCACCTCCTTGCGAGCGAGCACCTTCTGCATGCGTCCAGCGGTCTGGACCATGATGCCATAGGCGGTCTTTGTCTGCGGATCGATGAGCACCTTGGTGACCAGCGATCTCTTCCTTATGTGCAGGTTGGGCCGTTGGCCCTTGATTGGGTAAAGGTAGGCGCGATTGGAGCTCCAACGCGTACCATTATGGACCGTGGCCTGCAGATAGGAGACGCCCAGCTGAGATGCGCCATTGTAGTCGCGGTGCGGCAGGCCCGCCTGATTTGAGGCCTCCACAAAGGCTGTGGCAATAGGGGTCCGAAAGAAGGAGTAGCTGATGCTGACCGGTCCCTGGCGGCCGGGTCGCGACTTGCCCGTGTCCGCGTCGGGTATGTGCGAGCCCTCGTATTTGCGAAAATATGGCAGCAGCTCGTCATAGCCCCAGCCGGGATTGCCCAGTGCCTTCCAGCGATCATAGTCATGGCGATTACCGCGTGTGTACATCATGTAGTTGAGGACGGAGCTGCCGCCCATCACCTTGCCGCGCGGCCAATTGCAGCGATTGTTGTTCATCGCCAGGCAATAGCTGTTGGAGGCCTGTGGCCGATATTTCCAATTCATCTCGCCCAGCTGCAGATAGTGTGCCACAATGGGCATGTCCATGGCATAGCTCTCCGGTCCGCCCGCCTCCAGCAGCAGCACCCTCCACTTGGGATTCTCGGAGAGGCGGGCGGCCAGAGCACAGCCCGCGGTGCCGGCGCCCACCACAATAAAGTCATATTCAGTGAGCAGCTGGTCGCGCTCGTCAAGGGCCTCGAGATCCATTTGATTTTGACCACGTCGCAGCAGCTCCAAAGCATCGGCCAGGGCATTGCCATAGTAGCTTTGGGCCACTGCAGCAGAGATCAGGCACAGTGGCCACAGCATGAGTAGTTGCATGCCCATCCGGAGAGTTGAGCTGACAGCGAGCAACTGAATCAACAATTAGTTCGGGAATAGAATCCATTAGAAGAAAGGAAATTCACTACTAGTTAATCACATTTATATCCGAGCTGATGTTTTAATTACATCGAACAGCTGCTGGCATCGGGTCTTGCGGAGGGTAGCTCGAGCTGGGGTTAGAGTCTCACAATGCGTTTCGCGAGGCAATGGAAACGGCAATTATTCAATATGCAGTTGCACTTAGCTGCGATTAAGAGCATGATTAATGAAGAGAAAACACTCTTAACCATATACCTATGATACCGATAGTAGATAATATTCAACTGCTGACCTGCCGTATGCTCTTTTCGAGTGAGACATTTAACTGATTTACAGCATTTTTTCCGGGACAATTCTTGATTCTTGCATAAATTTCTATGCAAATTTTATTGTGCCTAGAACTTTCGAAATACGTATACGATAGTATCGAAGATAGTCGGTTATTTATTGCAAAAACATGAATGCAATAGGAACTAATGCGATAATTCGTTTTCCCACCTCAATTTAAAAAAAAAAATCACAGACGACAGGTATAAAGAATTAATTAATCCTATACAGATCAGAGTAGCTGTAAACAGAATGCAATTAGAATTATGTTAAATATAATACAAAACAAAATATAAATAATAAGCTAATAAAAATGTCATCCAATTGCATTAGCAAAAAAAATGGTTCAGATTAAAGACGAATATTTGACGAATAGTTTGAACGAAGAAATATAATTCGAAGATCAAAAAACATGCCAGACAGACCGAGCCAAGCAAAAGATAAATTGTAGAGTATAATGAAGGAAACATATGCATATCCAATTAGAGCAGACAACAGGTAGTTACAACAGGTCTCAATAAGAGCTTAATGCCTGGCTTTAGCATTAGGAAATCGCAGATAAGTTCGAGTGACCCCTAGGAACAGACAGCAATATCTGTGGAGGAAACTAATTAGATAGAATTGCAAGTAAATGGAAGTTTTGCAACTGTCGTGTCGGCTTAACTGGAATGCATAGTAATAACTGAGCTAGAGAGGGAACATGGCAAACGCTCTGACCGATTATAGTATTTAAAAATACGTTAAGAGAATCTGTAAGTTCGCTGTTAATTCGAGTGACCCCTAGGAACAGAGAGCAACAACTGTGGAAGAAACTAATTGGATAGAATTGCAAGCAAATGGATGAAACTCAAACGACGAGTCGGATTAACTGAAATGCATGCTATTAGCACAGATAGAGAGGGAGCGTGGCAGACAATTTTACGGGGTATAGATACGTCAAGAGAAAACCATTTCCGGATCGCTGTAAATTCGATTGACCCCTAGGAACCAAGAGCTAGAGCTGTGCAAGAAACCCTTTAAATAGAATTGAATGCATAAAACTCAAATGTCTTTCAGGTTTAACTGAATTGCGTAATATTACCAGAGTTGGAGAGGGAACATATCGAACGATCCGAACGAGCATATTATTTTTAGATAAGTTAAGGGAAAACCATTTCCGGATCGCTGTAGTCGCACGATCGTCTGAAGACCAGCACTACTATGCTAGTAGCATCAGTAGATCGCTTTGCAAGTTCGAAATTGCAAATTCAAAATTCTAAATAACTTGGCTGATGGCAACGGATCGTGGCTTGTGACGAGGTTTGACTGCAATCAGTTGCATGATTCAACAACAAAATGTTGTATGCGCTCTAGAACTTGCCCAGCTGCCGCTCGAAACCATTGAGTTTCATCATTTGCTGGACTTTGTTTTGTAAATCTTTTAATTATTTCCGTTTGCATGTGAATGATTTAACAAGAGAATGGGCTTCGAATGGGCGACCTATTGTCAGCGTCTGAAGTCGCAGCATTGAATCGTAGAATTTGTATTAAAGCACGAGCGCCGACCCATGACATACTAAAAAAAAAACAACAAAAAACATAGCCAAAAAGATCTTTCAAGTTTTTTTGTAATTTGTTTAAAACAGTGTTTGATCAAATACCAACAACTGTTTAAGTAAACACACTCTTTTGACGGGTTCTACTACTTAGCATAAAGTCGAAACATTGCAAGCGGTTTTGGGATTTAAGTTTGTAAACTTTCCATTGTATGCAAACCGGTTTTAGTTTAGAAATTAATAACCCATAAATGGAAATGGAAAATTATTCGAATGCAAGCACAGAGCTGTAATTATGACAATTACAACTACATTGTTTTACAACTAATTACAACATTGGAAAAGGAGAAAAATTCAATTGTGGAATGTTTCGCCTGCTGTTTTTCAGTTTTCTATACTTAAAATCTGTATGGAATTTATTTTATTTTCTCTTTTTTTAAAGGTTTTTTGTTATTATTATCATATTTGTTTATAATAGTAGATCAATCAGCTTAAATAATTCCAAAGGCAACAACTTTGATATAAATACAAAAATAAAGTTTTTTATATTGAAATATTGAAATAATAAGACATTTTAACTATCTAATCGATCAGGTGAATCTTAAAATTAACTTCTTTTAATAAAATGATTAAGCAAAACAAAACAAAAACAAATAAACAGCCGCAAAGTCAGCTTCTCATTTCGTTTGTCAACACGAGCAAATCACAAATCAAAAACCGCAAGTTTGAGCTTATGTCAAGAACCAGATTTACTTGAATTTGATATACCCTTGAAGAGGGCATTATGAAGAGGGTATTATGTTATTGTCACGAATAGTTGGAGCTGTCTTTAATGCCATTCAACTATGGTTAATATTACAGGAAAACTGAATATTTTATAGACATTTTTATCTTCTGCTTTTCAATATATATCTTAGTTTAACAGGCAAAAAGCTCTTCCACTGAGTTGGGCCCATAAATTGTGAATAAAACCGAGCTGAAAAATGGGCACATACCCTTTGGCTTCATTTACCAGAAAAGCGCAGCTATCTTGACCATAGCGAGCTTGACAATTGTCTTCACATATCCAAAGTATCTGCAAAGCCGCATTTAATCGTATGAAGCTCAATCTGTCAGATATAAAGCTATGCTATGAAAGTATTGCCAGGTCACATGTTGGCAAGGGTGTTTAGTAGGCGGCTTGTCGTTATTGTTCGGGCTCAGTTATTTGTTGTCACTCTTGTGCAGGGTATGCGTCGGCGGCTAAAGCTGCGGCAGAACCTTGCCGGCAAGTTCTTGGCAGAGCCAGTTGGTCCGTTGGCTCGTTGGCCCGTTGGCCCGTTGGCTGGTTGGCGACCAAGGTTTGACAAGAATCGATGACATTCAGGCGGCGGCATTCGAGTCAAGGTAGCGCCGTTGCCAACTGGTGCGCAATTTCGCAATAGTTGGCAACTCTGCGCGCCTAACGGCAATTAAAGTTTTCGGCACAATCGATAGTTAGCTGCTGTTGTTGTTGTTGTTTTGCCAATTTGCTGCTAAGTAGTCAAGAATTTTGTTAGCCGTTGTCTTTGACCGACTTTTCAACCGGCGAAACTGCGGCCAAATGCGTTTGGCGGCTGTTTTTCGTCTTTGTTTTTCCTTTTATGGCGCGAAATTGTCACTGTTATTTTTCTATTTGTCTTTTTAGTTTAGGGGACGCGACTCTGACATTTGTCTGCGTCTGCGTGGGCGTGGCACTGTGGCATGCCACTCATGAACTCTGTGCCTGTTGCAATACTTTGGCTCAATCAGGCAGGTCCGTGTTGACGCAGCTGTTGCTGGAGCATTTCAGCCAAAAAAAAAAGCATGACTGCGATTCGATGGTCTTGTCTAGTGATGATGACTGGACGGTTTTTTTTGGTCTTGGCTTAGCCCCAGCCGCTTCACTAGCCATTAATTTGTCGCCGTGTAGATTGTTCTTTTTGGCGACAGTCGTCGGCATACTTGATTGTGTTCAACTGGGTGCGACTCGTTTTCAGCCTGTTGCGGCTTATTTTTATTAATCAGAATTTACATACAATACGCAGCTACGCACTATTGGGGTTTTTTCTGTATACCCTGTAAATGTTTGGTCTGCAACATGGGGTATACTTTATCTGTGACTCAACTTTCGGTCTGAACTCGGGAATTCTGAAAGCTAGAGCTCTGAAATTTGGTACGCAGTCTTTTTGGCCATAAACAAAGCTAATTCATTTGAAATATTTAATATTGTCTAAGAATTTCCTAAGTTACAGTCATAAACTTTTGGTATACGCGTACTTTTTTATATAGTATTTATATTCTTTGTATTTTGAACTGTCTGAAAAGTAATTTTCCGTTGAGCATGCGCGTTTTTTATACTCATGTGTATATTTAGTTTTCAAACTTGCTTGAACAGCTTTCCGTCTCGATGTACTCTACATTGCTGCTCTAATTGAATGTATATTTTTCTGTGTATATTATTCCGCTGCATTAATTATTGTTTAATGCAAAGATTTAATTAGTTTGAAGCTAAGCTAAATGTTTGTGGAATCGTATTGACTGGTATACATCTAGTATATCGATATCGTTGACTCTTGCTAATGAGTGAATTTCACAATCGCATAGCTTCAAATCGTTTGTATTGTTTTGCTACATTTATGGATTCGATTTGTAGACACTCGTAAATATTTATTTTGCAAACAGCCGTAGAATAAGCATATATATCTGTGCATATATTCGAGTAGAGAGAAGTTGCGCCCTGTTATATGACTAAACATAAAAAATCAACCATAAAAAAAACAAAAAAATAACAAAATGAAAAAAGCCAAACATGAAAATCGTTTTTTGCAGCAATAACGAACCAACACACAAATCTTCTACCAAAGAATCTTCAAGGTTGCCAGCAAAAGACACACAAAAAACACCGTCAAGAAACCAAGAAAGAAACAAACTAGCGCTGATTGCGAGAGAGAACGTTAGAATTGGTAGTAAAAAGCAATAAACCAGTTTTGAAGTACCGCATTCGATAAATGCATAGATAATTTGTGTATCAAAAATATATATAAAAAATTATATCAAAACTCCACAGCTGAAGATCTAAGCCGGTCAAACTGAAATTTTTTT